AATATCTTGTTGCCATGGAAATGTGTATCTTTTATCAATATTCAATCACTATTTACTGAAAAAAAGCTCCTATATCTTGCTGAAAAGTTGCTTGTGAGTTAATTTTATCTTCTTTTAAGTGTACTAAGAAAATAGACAAAAATACCTAAGATTTTGTGTTTTTGCAGTGTAGCGTCACCTGCGATGACCTCACCTTTAGCCTTCAGCCTAACGCCAACGTCTTTGTGACCTTTGCTCAGCAGCTTCTTCCTCTGCTGGACCTGATGGCGCTCTAACCTATGCAGCAAATATCCTGAGGAGACATGCACTCCAAAAACATTTTTTGTGTTTTTGCAGTGTATGTAGATGGTGTTAGTGAAGGAAGAAGAGCAGAAACATTTTTGATAAACTCTAGTTCTTGTTTAATAATGATGTTACGCAAACAGGAAGCCTCTGTGTAGCAAAAATCACCAAAATAAAAGCTCTGTGTGTGTGTGGGTGGCGTTGCTGTGATCGTGCAGCTTTTTGGTCAAATGAACCACTGATTGTGTTCCTGTGTTTCTGTTCTGACTGTTTTTTCCTTGACTGAGCTGCTGCTAATGACCATTTTTATTTCGGATTTTATTTTAGTGTCAATGAACAGAAAATTATGTCCGTAAAAACCTGAATGTATGAACCGTAGATGCTACTAAACTGACGTTTGTATTTTTGTTGTTTATTTTGTTCATGTGTTTGACTCAAACATTCAGTTGTAGAGCACTTTTCCAAACTTCAGTTGTGTTTTGGGTATATTTACTGCACACTTTTTGTTTTTGTTTATGTTTAGATGTTTATTTATTAGATAAATTGCTTTAAACACTTAAAAGTGTCTGCTGTTCTGGAACTAGCAGTTCAACCTGGGAGCATCATTGAAAACAACTATTGCTATATTTATTTAATTTAAGATGGTGTATGGGAACATATGAATTGTTATTTTTGGTTTTATTATATTTAATGTAAACCTGCAGTTGTAAAATAATAATAAACCAAGTAAAAAGAAGCTTATTTTTTAAATCTTTGTTTCGTTCCTCTGCAACCTCCAGGGGGCGTCACATTTCCTCATCTATCCATCTTTCTACCTATCTATGCATTGTATTTCAATGTGTACTTAATAAAGTATCCCAATCTTCAAATATTATATTTCACTCACGTGTTTCACTTTGCAATGCAACATTGATACATTTTATTTTTAAAATTTTGGCTATTTCCATGTTGTTGGGAAATACAAAATATTAAGTAAACATATAATATGTTCAATATTATTAAATCAACTGTAAAATAAAGAAGGGTGGGAAGTTTCTCCTAAATCCGTAATAGGTCCGTACTTATTTAAAGTCTGTACTTTAAAATGTTACAATTTTAAACATTTATATTTGAAATGTAAAAATTTTATTTACATTTTACATTTAGATGTTTAGAAATATATGCATATATATTTTTTTTCCTAAAAAGATAATCCAAATATTTCCAAATTAAAATGATTCAGGAAGTGACGTACTTCGCGTTTGCCCTCTGGACTTCCTTTTCCTGTTAGCGGCGGCCGTAGAGAAGCATCAGTGAGTGAATTTTCCCTCAAAATAATCCACATCCATCGGGTTTAATCTGGGTTAATTTGTTCTCTTTATCACCGTATATCACAGATTACACTCCATAGTGTAAAAGTCGACCTGATATTTAGTGAGTTTATGTTTGATTAAAGATTAAAATTAGCTGTTTTGCTGCGGTGGTATCTCTTCCCCAGCGCACTTTCCAACATGGCAGCCTTCTTAGGGCTAAAGCTGCACCTTAGTTTTAGTGCCGTAATGTATAATTATTTTAACGTATTCTGATTTTATGTGGATGTGTTCTTTGTCAAGCAACTCACCTAACTTTAGAAACATCCAAAGTGATTAACAGAGTGAATATTACGTACATAAACACGCTTGTTTGATAGCTTGCAGTTAGCTAAATGCTAACTAGCCTGGCTGTCCGGGAGCAGCAGCAAGGCGATAATAAAATCCGATTATTCTGAGTTTGCCTCGATTTTAACAGATTTACTGCTTTATGACAGGAATGGGCAAGTTTATGAAGCCAGGGAAGGTGGTGATGGTCCTGGCAGGACGCTACGCCGGGCGCAAAGCTGTCATCGTCAAGGTACAAACCGGACTGAAACTCCTGCAGTTTAATAAAATCATATTTATACAAAATGCAGAGACTGGGTTCATAGTTCTCATCTTTACAAGATTAAGAAGAGTCTAAAAATTTGGCTGAAATGCTAGTCTAGTTAAAAAGTGTATTGTGTGGATATGAATGAATCAACAGCAAGTAAATCAACAATTACATAAAAAAGACTAATTTATTCTCAATATCAGTAATAGTCTGTCTGGTTCAGATTGTTTGAGCTGCTGATTTGATACATTTTATAAACATTTTAAAAATTAAACCAAACTGACTTTTAGAAGAATATTGTAGTGTGAAATTGATCTTTTAACACTAATGACAGTTTGGAGGGTTAATGTTCTCCGCTATCCTTATTTTTTGTTTTACCAGGTGCTTTACGAGGTAAGCCAGATGTTTATTTGACAGTAAGTGGTTTGTTATTCTCTTGGCAGAATATTGACGACGGCACCACCGACCGTCCCTACAGCCACGCTCTGGTCGCCGGCATCGACCGCTACCCCCGTAAGGTGACCACCGTCATGGGCAAGAAGAAGATCGCCAAAAGATCCAAGATCAAGGCTTTTGTCAAAGTTTTCAACTACAACCACCTCATGCCCACCAGGTCAGAAACTCAACTCTTCCTTTCTCCAGTTCATTGAATGCATCTTAACCACGACTTTACACTGTCGACAGTCCTGTTCATTTGTCTTTCATATAAAAATAAAAGACATAAGTTTTTACAATGTACTTTGGGGTAATTTTTAACTCCTTCCTTGTCTGTTGAAATCAGAACTGCTACCTGATTGGTGCATCTCCAATTGGACTCTTGTCTGGTTCATTGTTCCACCAAACTTTCCACCCAAAGAGCAAATCAGCTCATGATTCTGATTTGCTTTCCTCCTTTTTAGGGTTGAAACAATTAATTGTGATTAATTGATTATTGAAATGACTGTCAAATAATTTAGTAATCAGTTAATCTTTAACAAGAGTATACAGACCTTAAAAAAAAGGCCACTGTTCAAAAAATAAAACATACATGCTGCATTTTAGACTAACATGTTTTTATGTGTAAATATGGAGTTTTAGCTTCACGTTTACTAAAGGAATGTTTTTATTGTGATTTAGGTGATAAAATGTTTGTTTTATTTAATATGGGAATTGAAATGTTTGGTTTTGCTCCTTCAATGCATTTATAATATTAAAAAAACAAGGTTTTCAGCAGTTAGATGTAAAAATCTGCAAAATGTCATTTTTAAAAAATCTGATTGTCAGAATTAATCATTAGAATTACAGATTAATCACCAGAATAATCGACTAGCTGTCAGAATAATCAAATAATTGTCAGCATTACCAATTGATTACTAATGTAATCATTAGTTGCAGCTGTTCTCCTTGCGAAAAAGTATCTGGTCATTTCACATTTTTTATTTTTTTTATTCTGATGTATTTTTCCGTTTCTTTGCGGAAGAGGTGAACAGAAAATGTTTCGTTGTTCGAACGTCTCTGCTGTAGTTGAACTGTTTCCTCGTCGCCCTCAGATACTCGGTGGATATTCCTCTGGACAAAACCGTCGTCAACAAGGACGTCTTCAGGGATCCTGCTCTCAAACGCAAAGCCAGGCGGGAGGCCAAGGTCAAGTTTGAGGAGAGGTCAGGACACTTTCGCCAGTCAGTTGTTAGTGTTAAACATTAATATGTTGGTTTCTTGCTAAATTTGTCTTTTCTTTCTTTTTCCAGGTACAAGACGGGCAAGAACAAGTGGTTCTTCCAGAAGCTGCGATTCTAATTTCACAAAATAAATGTTTATAAATGGAAATCATTTGGACTCTGGCTTTTTTGGTTGAATTGGAAATTCTGGGTTTTATTTTCTGAAATGAGTCACAAAAACAATTTTAGTGAGTTTAAAGCTTTAAAATATCACATTAAAGCAATAAAACACATTAATGCAGAATTGTGGACCAGCTTAAAACTGTGACCATATAATGTGCTTCATAACTGAATATTTCCCTTTATTATCTTTATTGAATATTTAAGTTCATAACTTTCTATAAGCAAAGAAAATACAAGATATAAAACAGTAAAATTAAATAAATAATACTTCCTATTACAAAAGCTGAAATTAGTTTTTAAGATCAGTTAAATTTTTTATGTACTGTTATTTTTATTGAGTCAATGAAGGTCAATACTGCAGTTAGCTTTAGCGATTTTATTTTTTTGTTGCTAATTATTCTAGTGATTTAGGCAGGAAAATGAAATCAGGTTTAAATAATGAAATATATTCAGGAAGCCCATTCTGCTTTGAAAATTGTTGCAGGTATGTTTTTTTTCTTCCACTGAACTTTCCATAGTAGATTTCCCTGGTGGTTAAAAATAAAAAAAACATTTTTTCATGTAATCAAATTTTCTGAGAATTTTCTGAACCTGAGGTTGATCACGAAGATTTACAGGATTTATTTTATAAAGTGTGATTAACTGATTTTTTAAAATATAAATTATTAAATATTTTTTTCATATTTGTACTGAAACGCGCCTGTAGATGTAGAGCAGGCGTCAAACTCCAGTCCTCAAGGTCCTGCAGTTTTTAGATGAGCCTCGGGTGCAAAACACTGAATGAAGAGGATTAATTGCCCCTTCCTGGTGTAGATAAATCCTCTAGAGCCTTAATGACCTAATTATTCTGTTCAGGTGCAGCAGAGGCTCATCTTTAGTTTGCCTCCTGTGATTCAGTGTGAAGGCAGCGGTTCCTGCTGGTAAAGTGTCGGATTTTCTACAGCCCTGAACGCATCATCCTGCAGCCGGCGGTGCGCCCCCTGCTGGAGATGAACGGTTCCTGCTTGCTGTTGATGAGAACAGAAAGTGAAAGATAGAATCAGTTTCGAGCAGATCGTCGGTGCGAGGTAGGTTAAACCCGAGCTGTTGTTTCTCATAAATACATTAATTTACTTTTATTCAGTCGTTTTGTGATTTGATTTAAAGTTAAGTGGTTAGTCTGAGATTCACTGTAAATCCAAGATTCACTGTTAATCTGAAATTAGGCCTCCAGATTGGCTCCAAAGTTCACCAGACTGGCTGACTGACTGACTGCGCCTTTCTTTGTTTACAGCATGGAAACGTTTTTATAAACCCTCTTTATGTATTGATCTTACTCTGAATGACGGTTTTCAACTGTTTTAATCTGTTAAACATGTAATCTGAATTATTTCAGGTTCCTTTCACCATGTCATCAGACGAGGTGAGATTAAGCCTCTTTACGTCATTGTTTGTCATATAGTCAAACACTTTCCGTTTCCCTTTCAGCCAGATTCAACCTTTCACTGCTTTCCTCGTTTATTCGCTGAACATTTTAATTTAAAACGAAGCATTTATCTCCTGTTTGTGTTCAGATTCTGACTGTCTGTTTGCTCTTGTGTCAGGATTTCTCCCTGGTGACTGAGAAAGATGAAGAAACACTGGAGGGAATCCAGGCTCTAATCAAAGATTACCAGGTGCAAAATACAACTACAACACACATTTACTCTAAGATTAGTGAAAATATGTCAGATAAAGCCATCTTTTCCAGCACAGACTCACACTGACGTATTTAATATCTCTTGATTTGATTGTTTTCTATTTTCTTCCAGCCTCGGTTGTTACGGCTTTAATTTCCAGTTTTAAGAGTTTCCTGACTTTATGTAACTAAAATCAACACATCTTTAGTTCAATGTATTGCCTTTCTCCTTCTCAATTAAATTTAGCTGAAAACGATTACTGGTTTTATCCCAAAGTGGAATAAAATGTTGCAGTAAGTCTTTGCTCAAGTTTCTACTGACTTCCAGTAGCAGTCAGTCTCGCAACGGTTTGAATATTCAGTCTAATTTTAACACAAAGGCGCATGAGCACCATTGTAGACAGAAAGATCATTTCCACCAAATAACTTCTGATTTAATCTCAGAAATTTTTTGTTTGTCATATAATCAAACACTTTCCGTTTCCCTTTCAACCAGATTCAACCTTTCACTGCTTTTCTCGTTTATTCGCTGAACATTTTAATTCTAACCAAATAATCATGAGCTCAAAAAGTCTAAAGTTTGCAAGAAAAAAATCTGAAAAAATGTTTTCTAGAAAAGATGTTTTTTAGCCCAAAATGTCAAAGATGTGTAAAAAGTAAAAATTTGAGATTAATATGAGATATCTTCATGAAAAAACTTGAAAATTTCTGATATTAATCCCAAATTTTGAGTTTTTTGGTATTACCTGTAATGGATTAAGAGTAGTTTAAGCTATTGCCATAAAAGTTGAGTTTATTTGAAGCCTGTCTGCATTGTTTACCTGAAGGTAATCCGATCTGCTCGATGCTAAAGCTAAAACACGTTTAACCTTTTCACAGCTTTCAGATGTACCAAAAAGTGATTGTTGTTGCTGTTTCCCCTTAGAGGAAATACTCTGCGCTCCTGGAGGAGCAGGAGGATTTAAAGGTCTCCATTAAGGAACGACAGGAAATGACCCAAAAGTTCAAGGATCGCACAGAAAAAGTGACGGACGGTCTGAAGAAAGACCAGATTGCCTTCGAAGAACAGATCGCAGCTGAAAAGGTTGGAGTGCTTCTGTCTGCATCACAGCCTGGAAAATAAAAACTTTATTAAGGTGCAAAGGCTTATGGGAAATGACTAAACTTAATGAAACAGTTTATCAGACAGTAATTTGTAGCTGTCATGTAGATAAAACAAAAAAAATTCTGAAATTTTCTAAACAAAACTCGAGTTTAAAGTTGAAAATTGAAGTAGAAAGTTTGACATTATTCTAAAAAACTTTCTATAATAAACATAAAATTTCTGAGTTTCAAACATTTTCTGGAAGTTTTCTACAAAAACAAGAGTTGAGAATTTGTGGGAGAAAAATAATTTTTTTAGATTAATCTCAGAAATTTCTATTTATTTCTAAATTCTGCCATAAAAGCAGTGTTGTTATCAAATATCAATATCAGTCTATTTATACTTTCCAGTAGCTTAAAATTGTAACAATAAGTTATTTTTTATTTTCAACATGGACAAAAATGACAAAAAGATCTGAAATGATATTAAATATGAAGCAGAAGTTTCATGCAGACTGTAAAAAAAGAAAAATGTGTTTCCCCTGAGGAAGTTCATATTTCTATAAGAAGTGAATCAGAGCCTGAACTGAAGAAGAAAGGGTGAAAATTTCACAAACTTTGTATGTTTTATCAAGATTTTATGTGAAATTTTCACCCTAATATTTGTTGTCTGACATCAGGCCAGGTTGGAAGCCCTGCAGCAGGAGGACTGCGAACTCATGGAGGAGCTGCAGAGACTCCAGGCTGAGATCCAGAAGGAAGATTCCCAAAACGCCCAACTGAAGGAGCGAGCGGATGTAGGCGACGCTCCGATTCCCCCGCAGCCCGACGTTCTGAACGTATCTGCTCACGTTGCAGCTTTCCATCGCAGGTTTTCTCCAAGATGCCAGAGAAGAATTTCGTCTTCTCCGGGAAGACGGGAAAGGCCGACGCCGAGGAGGAGTACGAGATGAAGCCGCACATCAGGTATCCGATGGAAGAGGGAACGGCGCTCATCACGTTCGAGGAGGAGGACGGTGAGAAGATGAACGTCGTTAGCGGCTTAAAATTCACGTTTTGCACGTTTTTCTACTTCCGTTTAATTCTCAGATGGTTAGAAGAGACACAAAAGTTCTCAAAAGAAAAATGAAACACCCAGCTGTGTTTTGGCCATAAGTTAATCGGAGAAATGAGCCGTTTCAAAAACCTCCATGTTGTTCAGTCACATTGCAGGTTACCTAGCAACCCAAGCAGAGTTCAGCCCGTTACCTAGCAACCCAAGCAGAGTTCTGCTCCGTTACCTAGCAACCCAAGCAGAGTTCTGCTCTGTTACCTAGCAACCCAAGCAGAGGTCTGCTATGTTTGGTCAGCTGGTTTTACTGTTGTCTGCGCTGTACAATGGCTGCTGGAAAAGACAAGTGTTTTGTTGTTGACTTACCATCCAGAAACCTCTTGTTGCTTTCTTGTTTGTTGTGCAGGAGGCTCCACTTCTGCTTTTCAGAGACATACTGTTGTACAGTTGCACTTCTGTTTTGAGCCATTTTCATGTGGGGTGTTAATGCTCGGTTGTGGGGCGTGGCCAACAGCAGCTTAGTTGGATTTAAAGTGACAGGAGGCCCTAAAACCTCTCATTCTGATGGGACTCGACTGAAATCTGATCATCTAAGAAAGATTTTGTCCAAATAGTGGAAAGAGGATGTTTGTTACACTTTAAAACTTGACTTAAATAGAGATTTTTGTTAAAATGTGATTGCTAGTGGCGGCTAATATTCTGGAGAAGAGGATCCATAAGGTGGATCTGGGAGGAGAGTGCCACATCACGGTGGAGGCCCAGCCGGTTCACCTGCTGATGCCCAGCCTGGTGGAGGTAAAATCCGCCGTCGCGACGACGAATCGAAGCGCTCCCGTTCTTTACCCTCTGACCGCCTCAACCGCAGATCGACACAGACGTCTGTCCTCACCGTGTTTTGGTGTCCAACCTGCCCAAGATGGACACGGAGATGCTGCTGAACAAACTGGAAATCCACTTCTCCAAGTCCAAACATGGAGGCGGCGAGGTGGAGTCCTGCGACTTCCTGCCGGACTCGGGGACGGTGGTCATCGCCTTCGTGAAGGACAAGAGTGAGGACGGATGTTTTCCGCTTTTCTGACTTCACAGCTGGAGAGAAAATGTTAAACTGACTCTTCTTCTGAACTTTCTTCAATCAGTTGCAGAACAGTTGGCACTAACGGAACACCATAAGATCGATTTCAACAAAACAAAGCACACAGTGAGAGTGACGCCTTTCATAAACGGAAAGATCACAAACTTGGAGGTGAGAAAATGTTGGGAAAACACACCTGAAAATAAAAATTAAGGCCAACAAAAATTAAAATAAATTCATAGAATTTTAATTTTAGTGTCAGAATTATTACTTTGCTCACGGAATTGAACACAGACTTTTTGTTCCTTCTGCAGTGGCGCTGATGTTCTTCCGTATTCGCTCTAATTGTTGTCTTGTCTCCCAGACCCGGACCTCCATGTGCCCTCGGACCGTCCTGCTGACGGGAATCCCGGACGTCATGGACCGGGAGACGATGCAGGACATGCTGGAGATCCACTTCCAGAAAAACGGCAACGGCGGCGGCGAGATCGAAGCCTTCCTGTACAACCCGCTCGGCCAGCAGACCCTGGCGCTGTTCGGCAGCGCCGCACCAGAACCTGGAGAGGAGAAGTAGATCCGGCTGCTCCGGACCGAACTGACCGCCGGCAAACATCTGGACTCTGTTTCTGATGGACCTTTAGCCGAACTCTGTTGTTTTGGGAATAATCGGAATGGTGAACGGTGCAGGACTTCATGGTTTGGAAAACTGAAAGTTAATCAAATTTAAATTCCCAGATGAAAAATATTGTAAGTTTATAAACATCTATATTATATTAGAGCTGCAACAGACGACTAATTGATTATTCAATTGGATTTTTACACGATTAATCGGATGAAGAAATGAACACATTTTCATTTAACCATTCAAGCTTTTTTTAAAACAATATTAGAAATACAATAAAACAAGGTGTCCAAACTATGTGCCGGGGGCCATTCGGGGGCCCTTGAAATGCTTGCGTTCGGCCCTGATCACAATCAATGGTGAAAATAAACAAAACGGAAAACAATCGATTTTCTTTGTAATAAGGCAGCAATTGTTTACGGGCTTCATTTTTTAATTGACTGTTGAGCTGGTAGCTTTAGCATTTTTAATTTAATATTTTTGCTTCCCAGAAGTTTAAATTTGTCAGGGAGAAAACTTTGGACCACTGCTTTAAAAATAAAAAATAATCAATTCAACTAAGAAATTAAATATTTTATTGCCTCAGAAGTGATAATGCAGCAGTCCTTTTGTGAACGTTTGATCATTTGAAGCAAAAGATGCGTTAAAATCTCAACCTTTTCTGCTTCACTTAATGTCAGTTGGGCTGATCTGGTGATTAGTTTTTGTTTTAAATGATTTACGTTTGGATTTTTACAGCATTTCAACCAGGTGAAGCTAAAACTGTGCTTTGTTTCGTAAATACTTTTTGGTAAAGTTGAGGTTTAATTACTGCCTTGAATATATTCTTTCAATACTTGGATTTTTTTTTTAATCTGTATACTTCAGTTCGCGACTAATACATTTTTAAGGTAATTGCCAATTATTTAAATCGATTAATCATAACGTTTGTTACATGCAGATATTTGTCTATCAAATTATCATGTGGGAAATCAGACAACTGGAAATACCGTTTTCCTTATTTGATTTTTTTGAAAAAAGTGAATATATTATGACATTTTACTGTGTTTTGTATCATCTGATAAAATCATATTATCTGGGAAAATATATATTTTAATCACTTTAATAAGGTCCATGTAATGTACTCTGGCCAAGGCTGCAAAACCAAATTTATCAACTTAAAATAATCTATTAACGCTGTATTGATGGACGAGTTTATATCAAAATAATACGCGTTAATGTAATTCTGCTTCGTCAGAATATTTACTGTCGCTTAGATTTTGGAAATGGATTTCTGAAATGTAAACAAGAAGGTTTAAGAAGAATATTAAAGTCTGGATCAGCTTGGTTAAATCAGGTTCGGTTGTGTTTTTCTTCAGTTTATTTATTTTTGGATTTTGGATTTATTTTTACCTTGTTGAGCCTTCCGTACTGACCAGATTTACCCACGACGGTCGCAGTTTGGTTTCTCTTTATCTGAAGCAAAAAATAAACAACCACTAAACCTCAATAAAGTTTTATTGTAAAAACCGAATAAACGTTACAGCATGTTGAAAATAAAACTAAGGTGAATCGTTTTCAGCTACATCCCATAGAGAATGAATATGAGAAGAACAAGCTAACCGACGGCGGTCAGGCACTTCAAGGAAAAGAGACAGGAGGACAATCTGTGCTCAAACACATGTCGTTCAAAAACAAAGGAAACAGCAAGATCATACCTTGGAAGACAGCTGGCTAGATTTCACATCAACAAGAGGACACAATAATTTAAAAGCCTCTAAAAACAATCTGGAATTTACATCGTTCTCATAAAAACACAAACCAATGCAGGAGAACAGCCAGCCTGCAGGGCTCGGCTTTGCTTCCCACCACCAGAGGGCGCCGCTCCGTGAGAGCTCAGTGGCTTGGATCAGCAACAGGACGTCCTCACAGGTGTAACAGTTAAAAATGTTCTACAGTGGAATAGTAGTGCATTCTGCAGAGAGGCTGGCCTCCAAGTCCTACACTGAATATGTAGCTGCTTTTTAAACACACATGTTTGATACTTTATATATAGACTCCTAACTCTAATACTTTACATCAAATCTTTATATTTGTCTCTATTTTGTCATCTATGTGCTTGATGTGGTAATGCTTTACATTCAAAGCTCCAACCGTTTTCCTCTTGAGGGTCGATGTGGGGCAGAGGAAAGCATTAGCTGGTTGATTGAACTGGAATCACGTCGTATAAAAACTCTAAACCACCACCGGCGCCCATTCGCTTGGTTTGCGTCCATACTGGGAGAGGAAAACAGTCAGGAGAGTGTTTATTTGGATTAAAACATATTCATATTTAGTTTATTTGGATTAAAACATATTCATATTTAGTTTATTTGGATTAAAACATATTCATATTTAGTTTATTTGAATTAAAACATATTTAGTTTATTTGGATTAAAACATATTCATATTTAGTTTATTTGGATTAAAACATAATTAGTTTATTTGGATTAAAACATATTTAGTTTATTTGGATTAAAACATATTTAGTTTATTTGAATTAAAACATATTCATATTTAGTTTATTTGGATTAAAACATAATTAGTTTATTTGGATTAAAACATATTCATATTTAGTTTATTTGGATTAAAACATTCATATTTAGTTTATTTGGATTAAAACATAATTAGTTTATTTGGATTAAAACATAATTAGTTTATTTGGATTAAAACATATTTAGTTTATTTGGATTAAAACATATTCATATTTAGTTTATTTGAATTAAAACATATTTAGTTTATTTGGATTAAAACATATTCATATTTAGTTTATTTGGATTAAAACATATTCATATTTAGTTTATTTGAATTAAAACATATTTAGTTTATTTGGATTAAAACATATTCATATTTAGTTTATTTGGATTAAAACATATTCATATTTAGTTTATTTGAATTAAAACATATTTAGTTTATTTGGATTAAAACATATTCATATTTAGTTTATTTGAATTAAAACATATTTAGTTTATTTGAATTAAAACATATTTAGTTTATTTGGATTAAAACATATTCATATTTAAAACCAAAAATACTTTTGTTTTATTCATTTGAAATTTCCAAAAGCTTGTAAATGGCTGTAAATGGTACAAAATAGCTAGCTTGGTAGCCTCCTAGCGTATATTAGCAGCTACTTAGCATTAGCCTCCTCAAACATAAACCCCATTTTTGGTCCAGATACCAAACATTTAGCCACCCAGCTGTGTTTAGTTTCACTTTGCTTTAGAATTAGCAATTTTGAGAGGAAGAAATTTACTTGTGGAAGTTTGAATATTGTTGCTACTTCTGGCTTAATTTGCTTGTTACCGGTTGAATTAGGGCTGACAATCTTACCTGAATATCAGTGAGCTCTTTGTAGAATCTCTTTGCGAGATCTGGACCGTTCTGCATTGTAGGGATCTGATAAGTCTGGAAAAAATTTAAGAAATGCAAAGAACCTGACCCACAGGATGACCGTAAAACCAAGAACATTTTAAAATTCCACGTACTTTTCCTTTATAAAGGAGGTTTCCAACGGGACAAACGACGCAGGCGGTCCCGGCTCCAAAAACCTCCAGAACTCTTCCAGCATCCAAAGCTTGGAGCAGCTCCTTCATCCCCATCGTTCGCTCCGTCACTTTAAATTCGCCCTGACAGAAACGAACAAAGAACGAGAAATATTGTTAGATATCCTCAAAGACTTTAGGTTACGGAGAATTTCACAGAAACAGCAGGAATGTGAATTAATTCACTCTATTTAGGACAAACGTTTTGCTACGTGGACTCAGATTGTTGTGGGCAAAAAGAAAAATAAAATCAAGCAAATAGAGAAGCCTGATATTTACTGTAGGTCCAAAACCTAAGAGATTTTTACGACACTGTAAAACGGCCCTAACAGATAAGGGGAAAAGACTAAATACCTGCCAGAAAGTCAGACATTTTGCGATTAATTTTCTATAAAAAAATAAATTCTGAATTCAAAAAGTGAAACATTTCTGACTTTTTGATCTAAAAAATTCTTGTTATTCTTGTCAATTTTTGACTCTTTGAGCTCAGAGAATTTTTTCTAGAACATTTTTTAGGTTATTTTCAAATTTTATATTTTCACAAACTTTTTAAATTTTAATTTTTTTTCTTGAAAATTTATCAAATTAAAGTCAAAATTTCTGATTTTTGTCAATATTTTTTTTCCACTTATTGAGATCAGAAATTCCCAAATTTTTTCTTGAATTTCTGACTAACTAATCTAAAAATGTTGACATTTGAAATTTTGTAGAAAATTTCTGATATTAATCTAAAAATTTGTTTTTCTAGCAAATTTCTTACTCAAACTTTTTTGATTTTGCCAGAAATGTTTGTTTTCTTTTTGCAACGGCCCTCAGACACTGTAGAATATTTTGTGTCTGTTGTATTCAAAGACAATAAATTTATTTTCAGTAATAAGAAGAGGATTTTTGTTACTTTCTTTCAAAACCCTTACTATTTTGATCCAAGTTGAAGAAAGCAGCAAAGTTGCTTTTTCAGTAAAAGTTTCTCCATAAACCTGGTTTTACCTTTTGTTGAAACTTTGTTATAAAATGTTAAATACTTTGTGTCGTACTTTACATTTTCTTGAGTTAGAAAATTATGTTACAAATTAAAATTAAAACCCAACTGGTTTCACTTTTGAATTGCAGTTCTGGTTTTGGAAGCTAAATAAAGCTCCAGCTGCATTAATTGGACTTTTTGTTGAGGAGGATGTTGCGTCTTCTCACCCAGGTTCTGCCCAGGTCCAGCAGGGACTGCCGGGTCACTCCGGGCAGAATGATGCCGTCCAGAGGAGGAGTCACCAGCTCTCTCTCTGCAGACACACAAACAGCTGATCGATATCCACCCATGTTCAATAGGTCCAGCATCAGGGGTCAGAGGGCGTCTCACCTCCGTTAGTGTTGGTCCAGTAGATGAAGAGGTTCATGGTGCCGACCTCGGTGATCTCCTCATCCGGGCCGTAGAGCCACAGAACCTGCTGGCAGCCCTGCTTCACCGCCTTCGTCTGGACGGCGATGGTCGGCCCGTAGTTACTGGACACACACACACACACACACACACACACACGTTTCTATTATAACAGCCGTCACTTCACGGCTGTTGCACCGACTGCAGTTTCTGGCCAGAATAATCAATTATTGGGATCATTTTTAGTTGCAGCTGCAGTTTTAGATGCATGTCTGTGTCGAACAACGCAGCGATGCCCCGGGCTGAATCCCTTTCTGTTCTCCCGGCTGGTGAGAGCGGCTAAATCCGGGTTTGGGGCGGACGCGTGTCCCACCTTCTGATGGGACCAGAGCGGAGTGGATCCCTGAGAGGATCCCTGAGCGGATCCCTGAGCGGATCCGGCGTTCGGTTATGTAACGGACTGAGTCAGATCAGAGGAGCTGAACAGAAACAAAAACTCCAGACGAGGTTTAGAGACTTTAACGGTCTGAGATAAAGGGTCAGGTCAACTTTCTGCCCATGTAATCCAGAGAAATGTTCAGATTACAGATTAACTTTATCGATTAATCACTTAATCTGAAGTTGGTTGATTTGATCAATAAACTAACAATTAATTGATAAGTGGGCAAAGTGATAGACTTTTCATAATATGCTAAATTATTAATAATCAATTATTAATGAATGATAATTAATAACAATTATTCATAATTAATAAACATTTGAAAATATTTGGTGATTAAAAATGTTTCCTCAAAACACAATTTAGGTCTAAAAATTTTTATTTAATTTAAAAAATCTGAGTTACTTGTCAAGATTTTACTCCTTTTTCCCCCCCTGTCTATATTGCCCTAATACACCGTCGCTGATTTTACCCGACTGTGACGTAGAAATTGACCATTTCCTGAGTACAACTGGAAGGCAGCATGGATCCGCCCTGAATGACGAGAATAAAAACTCACCCCCCCATTTTGTACTCCCCGACTCCTCCTTTCCAAGCTCGGACGTACGCCGGGTCCGCCAGCAGAGAAACCGGGTTGAAGGTCCCCGTGGTGAAGTACGGTCCCACTGGGCCGACGATGACGAAGATCAGCGCCTTTCCGGTTCGAGAAACACCGAGAGACGGCTGGATGGGGAGCAGGACGCCGTTAGAAACGCAAACGGCAGAGCAGGGATTGTTCACGGATCACCAAACTCACCTCGGTGCCGATAAACGTGGGTCGGATGTAGAGGCTGGCATCCTGGGAGAAAGGGACCCAGTCCTGGTCCACCTCCACCAGCTTCTTGATGCACTGCAGCAGCTCGGTTTTATCAAACAGCTGGAATGAAAAACACATCAGAGGATCGTCCTTAAGATAATTACGATTGTTAATCAGATTTTTTTGGTTGGTTGGATGTATGGATGGTTGGATGACCCTTCAGTGCAGAGACTCACAGGAAGGCAGCTCCTCTCTGCGCTGCGATGCATCCTCTCCATGTTCAGCATCGGCCTGAAGAGACGGATGTGGTTGTCGACGCCACGGAACGCCTTCATGCCTTCAAACAGCTGAAACGACAAAAAAGACCAAAGAATAAACATTTAGGATGAGAATCCATGATTAACTGCTAGGTTAGCTTCATATTTAGCTGCTAGTGTAGCTCAACCTTTAGCTGCTAGTTTAGCTCTACGTTTAGCTGCTAGGTTAGCTCCATGTTTAGCTGCTAGTTTAGCTCCATCCATGTTTAGCTGCTAGTTTAGCTGCTAGTTTAGCTCCATGTTTAGCTGCTGGTTTAGCTGCTAGTTTAGCTCCATGTTTAGCTGCTGGTTTAGCTCCATGTTTAGCTGCTGCTTTAGCTCCATGTTTAGCTGCTGCTTTAGCTCCATGTTTAGCTACTAGTTTAGCTCCATGTTTAGCTGCTGCTTTAGCTCCATGTTTAGCTACTAGTTTAGCTCCATGTTTAGCTGCTGGTTTAGCTCCATGTTTAGCTACTAGTTTAGCTCCATGTTTAGCTGCTGGTTTAGCTCCATGTTTAGCTGCTGGTTTAGCTCCATGTTTAGCTGCTAGTTTAGCTCCATGTTTAGCTCCATGTTTAGCTGCTGGTTTAGCTGCTAGTTTAGCTCCATGTTTAGCTGCTGCTTTAGCTCCATGTTTAGATCTGTGTTTTGGAGCCTTACCTCTATGGAATAGTGCAGGGCGGAGGAGGCCGGGTGCAGAGACAGGTTCTGGAAGGGTTTGATCTGCGGCGCGTCCCAGCCATCCTTCTCGGACCAGCTTATGGTCAGCATGTGGTCGGAGAACTGCTTTCCGAACATCAGCGTGGACGGGTCGGGCTTGGGTTTGCATTCTGGGTTGCGTTCGATGTTGAGGTCTGCGGCCTGGAGGCGGACGGGACGAGAGCAGAGCGGAGCAGAAAGACGGAGCCACGAAGAAGACAGTGATTGTTTTTGAGCCGGGTATTGATAGAGCATGCTTTACACAAACACATTAGAGATACAGGATTAACATGGAGCCAGTCTGAAACAGGGACGTCCAAGGATTTGGTCAGATAGGCCAAAATCATCAAGTTAAAGGATTTGAGGGCCAAAAAATGTTTTTTCTTGTACTGCAAAAAGTTTTAGTATATTTATACAGTTTCTATTGCAAATATCTTAGTTCACTTGAAATAAGACAAAATTGACTGAACCTTTTCAATAAAAAAGGAGCTTGTATTAAGATAATAATTCCTTAATATTGTTGTTTTTTCATTTAAAACATTAGAAATGTAAGTGAAATAATCTGCCATGTTAGATTCCGTATTCAGGAGTCATTTAAATAAAATCAAAATCTTGTTGAAAAGTTACTTCATGTCTGAAATCTGCTACAGCAACAAACTGAGATCAGGCCATGTTCTTCAAGTTAACACCAGGTTTTATATTTCAGAAGAAAATTAAACAGATTTAAGTGGGAAAATGTATCTTATTTTTTGCTTGACTGTTTTGTGGTTGGATAAGCTCGACTCTTTTCAGCTGATTGTGAATATTTGGATTCAAAAATGATATCTTGTTGAAAAGTTACTTCCATGTTTGTTTTGTGCAGCGGTGTCTTGAAGCCATTGTCGACAGGAAAAAAGTTCATTTCTGCCACAAAACTGTGATTTTGAGATGAATTTCAGAAATATTCTAGAGAAAAACATTCAAATTTCCGAGCTCCAAAAGTGAAAAATGTCCGAGAAAAAACTGATTTTTCTCAGAAAGTTTCAAGTCAAATAATTTATTTGAAAATCAGAAATTTCAGTTTTTTTCTAAAAAAAAAATTTGAGGGTTTTTTCTTTCAATTTTTTTACTTTTCAAACTCAGAAATTTCCAAGTTGTTTTCTAGAAAATTTCTGAGATTAATCTCAAAATGTTTACGTTTTCTCTCACAAATTTACCCATTTTTTACCAACAACGGCGCTAAAACCCCTTCTTATCTTTCTTATTTCAAGTAGACAAAGACATTTGCACTAGAAACTGGACAAAGAATAACAATAAAATAAATATGCAATTATTTCACTAATGAAACAATAAAATAAATATGCAATTATTTCACTAACGACATAGTCAGATTTGTTGTTGGAAAGTGATGTGTAAATTATTACAAATGTAAGAGTTTTGCACGTTTGCCTCATAAGAAATTTAGCAAACTTTCTTGGCATCTAGTGGGAAAAATAGAACAAAATTTTGTTAATTTTGAGCAATAAAGTCATGATTTAGGCCACTCTTTCTTTAAAAATGCTTAAAGTTTAATAAACTCATTAAAGTAAATGTGGCTGGAGCTTTTGAGAAAAAGCTGATGTGATTCTTGCAAGAAATGTGGCAATTTGAAATCAAATAAATGGTGTTGCTGCCAACATTTTGTCACTTTGGACTCCCCCGGCTTTGGTTCTGACTGGTTTGGGTTTAATTAAATTGAATTAAATAATCAAAAACAGAAAAGAGAGAGCAGGTGAGAGGAGGAAATAGTTTTTAAAAAATGGGGAAGCTTCTTTTTCCCCCCAGAGTTTTTTGTAAACGTCAACAGAACGATGCCTGTGCAGGTCTTACCCGACTGGAGTTTCCTAATTACCTTAAAGGAGCTGGCGAATCGCAGGGCGCCGAACGAGAAGGGGAGAGTCTGAACGAGTCGTGCATGGAGCGCCTGCAGACCAAACAACAAAGACTCAGAGCTTCTTCCTGCAGCCTTCTGTCCAAATAATCAAGAAACAAAATGGCTGACAGTTTGTCTTCAGTTTATCTGCAGGACAGAAAACCTGATTTTTTTCTGTTTGAATCAGTTTTCTCGCTTTGTTTTCCAAAAAAACAGAAAGAAATGACAAAAAATATTTTTAAAAAGTGGCTTTTATTTCTATCATAATGTCTGTGAGATCTAATACAGAGTGTCAGAATCCAGAATATGAGAATTTAGTTTAATTATGAGAAAATAGTCATAATAAGAAATAAGAAACAATTTTACCAGAAAAAAAAACATCATGAAATTACGAGAAAAAATATAAATTATCCAGATCTGACACATTTACTTTTTATTTTGAAGTTACTTTATTCTCCTAATGTTACAAATTTATTCTCGTTAATTCAATACTCTTTCATGGAGTTAACCTGGATTCAAAGTTCAAATAAATAGACGCAGTAAAACCTGTTTGTCAAACAAGATGGCCGCCATGGATGTACTAACAATAAATCAACTCTGAACTATGGGAACCCCGGCTAATCTGTGCCACTTGACATGCAGTACGGGGCGATACGCTGCTATTACAAAACTTAACTAATCTCTCAGCTTTTTGCATATTCAGGACTCATTTTTAGTGATAAATGCAACAACTTTAAGTCGCATAAGCTTTTTTAAAATAATTGTTCAAGAGCTAAACTAACGGTTACACTCTTGCATAACAGGTTTGTTGAGGATTTTGTAAATATTTGTTTAATTTGCAGCTCTTTCCCAACCTGTAGTTTAGTTCACTTCTAAAAACAAACCAAATGATGGCGAAATATGACTATAAATCCATTTTTATCAATAGATTTATTTTAGGATCCAACTTAAAGGTCAATTCATGCAGATTTTTCTTCTAAAACTCTTTAATTTATTGAGCCAGTTTGAGTCAAAGTAACTGTTTGGAAGATTTTTTTTTTAAATGGCCAGTGCTTTAAAGTGTTGCGCAATAATCCACGTGCAACCTGATGATGTCATTCAGTTATTAAAAGATTGGGAGGCCTATTACTACTACTCGGACAAAGGGAAATTTTCTCCTTATGGTCCTGGGAATGCAAGGTCGAGTGTGATCCATTCAGTTCTCCAGCAGAGGTCTAATTCTACTGAGAAATGCAGTAATTATATGCATAACGAAAGGATGATGCAAGTTTTGTCTTCATTGCTTCATCTGATGGGAGGTAACACACAAAGCCATAAATCTGATGAAAAGAAATCTGACAAAAAAAAGCTAAAATTATAACATAACCATGCAAAAAAAGAAAAAAGGAAAACAAGGTTGCATTATTATTTTAGCAAGTTCGGGAAGCAAAAGCAGCCTGAATGACGAAAGACAATTTTGAATAAACCTGCAAATTGTCGAGTCACTAAAAACAAACGAACACGTCTTCAAGTTGTGCAGAATATAAAATATATTTAAAATGACACAATTGAAATATCACCAAAACAAAAGCGCCGAATTTGTTATCATCTCTACAAAATATATATTTAACCTTCAATTTGTTGTTCTCACTTTTATTTTTAGGACGAAGCTTTATCTTAAACTTTTCCAAATGAAGTCTGGTGAGGGATCTTCCCCGCAGTCGGATTCCCGGCGCGGGAACGATCCCACGTGCGATAACAGTCATGTCCATCTCCTCTCCTCCGGGTTTACAGATTTACTGATGAATTACATAATGTTTAACCCGGGTTATTAGTGTAAACAGATAAGAAGAGGCACATAGGTCAGTGAACCCACTCACCGTTCGGAGGGCGGCCATCTCCTCTGCGCTGATATAACGAGATTATTCGCCCGTGTGGAAACAAATACAAATCCGATTCCGTTCCGCTCTGACGGACGCGCCAATCTCCTTCCAGAACAATTAATTATGAATCAAATCTTTTACTTTATTACACTATCTGGTTTAATTTATTATTATCATTATTATTATTTTGTTGGCTCTGTTTAAACACAAAAACGTTAGCAATAAATTACAGTATGAGGATTCAGAAAGTTACTGAAGGAGTGGCAAAATCCTGGGCTCTGATTGGCCAGGAGGAGCAGAGTTTACTGTAGGTCAAACCGCTTATTGTTGATTGGCCGTTCAGGAGGGCAGCGGCGCAGATCGTGTTGCGGTTGACCTGCATGCCAAAATACTTAAAATATTTATGTTCCTCTATTCCCAACGTGTCTGTTTCTATTTCATCCATTTTCTTCTTTGTCCCCGGAGGGAGAGGTGAGAGGTTCTGGTGCCCATCTCCAGAGAGACATTTCACCCTGGACAGGTCGCCAGTCCATTGGATGGCAATACTGTTACCCTGTTTTTATTTTTTATTTTTAAAAACAGGTGTTTGTTTTTGTAATTTGCATTGATCCTCTGGGGTCAGAGACCCTCAGGATGGGATCTGACTCTTGAAGCCGTAGTTGAGTTCAGCTCCTCCACTGAGCAGCAGGTCGATGCCGGTGCAGAACGTCGCGTCTGCGGCCAGAAACAGAGCAGCCAGTCCACACTCAGCCTCCGTCCCCATCCGACCCATCAGCTGTTGGAGGAGCATACGCACAGGAAACGGGATGAACGATTCTGCAAGCCTGCAGCTGTTCGTTCCCACAGTTGCTGCTAAGCTGTAAAATCCGCTCAACTCGCATATAATTAAAGCATCTCAACTTGGTCAACTCCACAATTTAGGTTTAAAAGAAGAAAAAAAAAACATGTTCATGCTATGAAGTTAAGATGGCAGTTTCCTACTGTGCTTTCAACAGCTGAAAAACGAAATAAAAACTAAATACACTGCAAAAACACAAAATGTGACCAATTATTTTGGTCTGGTTTCTGGTGTACGACGGAGTATTTGGCCCATAATAAGAAACAAAATCAAATTATGAGAATAAAATTGTAACACTACAACTTTATTATGATTTATTATGTTGTACTATTCTCACAATACTTTGACTTTATTCTCATATGTTTGTTTTTAAATTATTGTCTTAGTGGCTCTAAAACTCCATTGTAATACTGCAAGACGTTTTTCCAAATCTAGCGAAATAATCTGCCAGTGGAACCAGAACTTTTTAATAAGGAATTATTTGAAAACTTACGTTTAAGTTTGCTTTGTTTTACTTAAAGTATACTAAGATATTTGCACTAGAAACTAGACAGAAATACTTGGTGAGACTTTGTGTTTCTCCACTGTATTCAGTGCTTGACCACTTCCATGTGTCGTCATGTGAAAACAACAAACTTCAGGGATTTTGTGCGACTGAGACGAAAGTAAAAAGATCGATCAATTAGGAAGTGGATGGAAATGAATTCAAATATAAATAAACATCTATATTTGAATAAACAACCTGGATTTATTTAGGGGTATTAGAATAGAGGGATAACAAACACTTTTTAGATTTTAATTTTAATTTTGAAAACTTTAGTCTTCTTGCAATTGTTCACTATTTGATGTTGGTTTATTAAATAAACATTTAGAAAAGTTGAACAGTTTTTAGATTCAGGAAATAAATGCAAGATTTGAGAAATTGACCTCTATGAATCCTTCGGTTCAAATAAACATTAACTAGTTTCGTCAGCTGCTAATCTAATTAGCATTTAATCATAACAGAGTTGGTAAAATCCCCCCTGCTGGTTCTAAGAATCAAAGTGTTTCGTTTCACAGACCGGTTGTGATGAGGCAATTCATTACCACAACAACAAAACTCAGTGAACATCCAGGTCAGCTGCTGCTTTACACCAGCAGGAGACTAACTGGTTAGCAACACAGAAGGTTTGAATATTCAGCACTGAATGCATTGTCCTGACCTCACCTGAGCATTTTCCCCCGCCTGCACGGCGGCTGCAGCGTCGGCCGTCTGCGCAGCAAGTTCTTCCCACAGCGGCGTCATCACGTTACCCGGAGAGATGCTGCAACACGCGTCAGACACTCAATTGAAATTTTTACATTTTTATTACCAGAGGTATTTGTAGAAGCACAAATGTATTTTGCCAACTTTACATTTTCCGGTTTCTATAATAATTTGTATTTATTTCATATTATTGTGTAAGTAATAAACGGTAGAGGTCAGCCACTTTCTGTCATTTTAAGGGATTCAAATATTTTCCAAACTTGGTTGTTCTTCAGATAAAAAAAAAAAAAAACATTTCAAGTCAGGTTTTTTAGACCATAAATATAAATTTCCAGGTACATAATTATTAGACAATTTAAATACATACATGTTATATATATATATATATATATATATATATATATATATATATATATGTTGAGGAGGATTAAACATGCATTTCTTAAATTATAACAAATTAATTTTGTTTATTTATATGGCAGCCATTGATAAAAATAATCTCTATGCATATATTACTAATATAATCTTCACAAGAATATATTGAAGATTAAATATCTTGTAGAGCTTATTGTGACATATTTAAGTCCTTTTCCTTTTTTTCTACACAGTAAACCGTCAATATTTATTTTAAAAAATGGCTGAAAAATACAGGCTCAATATTTAACAGCAATTATTTTTAAAAAATCATGACAAATATAATCCAACGTCCTTCTGCAAACTGGAACATCACTGGTTTATCTCACCAGTTCACTCTCACGTTGTGTTTACTCTCGTCCACAGCCATCGCCTTTGTCATGGAGATGATCGCCCCCTGGCGGAGAAAGACGTGCATTACAGAGCAGTTCTGTGCATTTAAAAGCTTCATCTCGACACTTTGACTCACTTTAGTGGCGACATAAGGCGCAGCGTCTTTCTGACCGATGGTTCCCACAAGACTGGAGATATTAATGATGTTTCCGTGGCGCTGACGCAGATACGGCAAAGCAAACTGCAGGAAAACATCTGCAGAATTATGTTGGGTTTTTTTCTTTTGAAATAGAAACATTCTGGATTAGATCAAATTTAATATGATGGCAGGTCGTTACCTAAAACGAACAAAATAACAAAAACTGAAATTGAGAAAATGTTTCCGAGCTGAAATAAATAAAAACGGCAATTAATGGGGAAAAACTGCAACAAACTGAAACTATATCTGAATCTATTATTCAGCCTTTACTGAGGTGGATTAGATTTCAAATTATGACTCTCCATCCTCTGCAAAAGTGAAGCGAAAGTTGGTTGCTCAACAATGTTTGAATACTTTTTAAAAACGGTATGATGAATAATGATCAGTGCTTACATGATCACAATACAATGTTTTTAATTCTGCACTCAGAAATGAACCAGAGTAAAAATGGAAATTACTTTGGAAGCTAAGAAGTAGCTGACAAGGTTCAGATTCAGCAGGTTCCTGAACTCCTCTGCTGTGGTTTCATCGGTGGCTTTGTGAGGAGGATCTGGCATGGAAGACAAATCATTTAAAAAGCAACATAGACTCAGACTTTTCGCTTTCTGCCCTCCGGAGGAACAGACTCACGCCAGCCTGCGTTGTTCACCAAGCAGTCGATGTGTCCATGAAGCTGCAGGGTCACTGCAACCAACCGCTGGAAGAAAAGGCCCAATTCATCTGGATTTTAATCCATAAAACTTAAGCATTTTGCTCAAATATGTAGAATCTATATTTAATAAAGTACTGCTTCCTGTTTCCACAGAGACATACATTATGGATTATTTGTAGTAAATGATTAATCGAACAATTATTCTTACGATTAATTGTATAAAAAAATATGTCAGATTTTTTATTTAAATATTACTAAAATAAACTCCAACAGTAAAGTCATGAGAAAAAAGTTGTAATAATATCAGAATGGCATTTTGAGAATAAAGTCACAACATTATGATTTTAATCTCTTAACACTATGACTCATATATAACATTTAGAATTTATTCTCGTTTTATTTTGACCAAATACTGATAATAATATGACTTTATTCTTGTCATTTCATGACTTTATGATTTAATTATTGCTCTGTAGTGCGGCTGCGCTAATCTAAAGATTAATTAAGAAATCAGCTTATTTTCATTGGCTTACCGTAAGAAATGGGACAGTGTGCATCTTTTTTTTTATCACTTTACCTGGATCTGGTCTTCCTTGGTGACGTCACACTCCACAAACTTGCAGCAGCCTGGACCCAGCGCGTTGCACTCCGTTTCCAGAGCTTCACCTGCTGCAGCTGCAACACATGGTGACACATTCTGCAGCTATCCTGTTTTATTTACGCATTTTGCAGTTTTGCGCTGCTCAACACCGACCTCCTCTTGCACAAAACACGACTTTAGCGCCATTTCCCACTAAAAGCAGACGCAGAAATAATCAGAGCTCCATTTCGGTTTTTTGCCATCTTAGCAAACACACACTGTAAAAACAAATATCCACAATACCAAACGCTTTGACGACCCCTCTGCCGATGCCTTTGGATCCTCCAGTGACAATAACCGCTTTGTTTTGGTAGCGCAGCGCCATTCTGCTGCGCCACAAACAGACTCTGCGCAGCGATTATCTGCAAAACACCACGAGTTATTATCTGATCACAAGCTGACTGCTTCTCTCTGCTCTCTGCTTTGTCAAATACTGCAGATGTCGACAAATGTTTGTAAAGTTCAAAGTCCCACAAAAAACTGGTTTTGCTCTGAGGCGTTCAGGTGCTGAACAAACCATCGGAAATTCTGTAATTCGCTGCAAAACCCAAACAATTCATGGAAAGCTCAGCTTACTGGTACATATGTAATGTTGAAGACAATTTACCTTATTTTATTCATGCAACAATAAACGTAACTATAACTGACATTACACTGTAAAAACAGAAACCTGTTTCGTTGATATTAAATCGTTTTTTTTTTTAGATAATGTACATATTTGTTTTAATAAATTATTTCAACCTCCAAATAATATTACACCGAACATTACGTTGTGAAGTAGAACATTTACTTCATTTAAATATAACTATACATTTTACATATAATTATTCAGTATGAAATAAAAAATATATACTTTTTAGATTAATTAAATCTCAAAATAAAGTTTCACAGAACATTAAAATGTGAATTTCAACATATATATTTGAAATGATATAAATATTTTGTCAGGAACAAAAAAAATATACATTTTTAAATTTTACATTTACAAATAATGCTATACTAAGTTATGAATTACAAGTATTTTTTTTAAACAATTTAAATCTTGTATTGATAAATCTCAAAAACACATTTAATTAGGTTTTGAATTAAATGTATGTATTAAATGTATGATGTAAACATTATGCAGGAAATGAAACAAATGCATTGTTTTTAATTAATTCAATCTACAACATGTAAGTTTTAATAATATAAATAATTGGCAGGAACTAAAAAATAAATAAATCTAAAAATAATG